TGAACATGAACACATGTGAGGATTTCAGCATTGGGTTTGGAGCTTGCAAAAGTTGTATCGCTGGAGTGGAGGTAAGTATCAGAGGCTTTAGCTCCACTCTAAGACTAAATTGACATTTGCAAATGTTTAGTATATGGATTGAGCCTGAGTGTTTAAATTATATACCGTACAGACTGTACTCAGGGCTGGATTTCTGCATAGCCAACATTAGCAAGGGTCTAGGCATCACAGCAACCAGGGTTGGCCTACAGCCACCTATAGATCAAGCTGCTGTCTGTGGGTAACACATGCTCATGTATAATAAAATATTCTAGACTGCCATCATGCTGTCCTGCTGCCAATGCATTGCGGCTGGGTCTTGATACTGTATTAGACAAGACAAAGGTGAAGTGCTGCTACCAGTTACCTTCATGACACTGTGACTTACGGTTCACCTACTCTGGTTTTTACAGCTACAAAACTGCTAGCAGAACAGAGGGACAGTTCACCATACCCTTCTAGTTGTTATAAGTGTGCCAGTGTTGCCAACCTTCTGTAGCATTTTTTCCTGACAAAATAGGGAACATTTACTGATGGAGCACATTTTTCCTGACAACCTGAAAAATGACATTAAAAACTAAGACAATCAATATTTAAAAAGTATAAACACAATATGGAAACACGGACTATACCCATAACAAGTACTTTGACTGGTTTACGCTTACAAAAGTCAACACAGCATGGCAAATTATCAGCCCCTGATATTTACAAACAGTTGTAAAAATCAGTGACTGTCCATAAATTTACTGACGGTTGGCAACCCTGATGTGTACAGATGCATGGTCAAGCTTTCAGTCTCTGCTTCCCCAGCCTCAGTGTGTCACATGGCTATGATATCGCTTCTTAGTGCTTTATTAGCTCTATGGAGGTAGAGGGTGAAGCAAGACATTTAACCTATGGGGCAGGAAATATAAATTCAACCCTGTCTGCACCTTAGAGTTTCAGGAATATGTAGAAGAACATTTTTAGTCATGCGAGAAGAGCAGAGCTAGAGTAATCATTTTATGACAGATATTTTTCTTCTTACAACATTAGGAGACTCATATATCTTCATAAAATTGAACAACAGATGGATAAAATGTACACCACTTTTACTGCCAGATTGTTACTGGAAAACTATATGCTACTGCATAAATGTATTTTTTCATACGATAACAACAATTTGAAACAGACATCGTGTGTAGAGACCCGGAGTGTAAGTAGCAGATCACAAACCAATAAAACAGTGTTTTCTACTTAATGAGGTTGATGTAGGGCCTATTCACATCTATGGCATTTCCTGCAGTATGCTGCTTTGGGGTTTACCGTAGGAAACTGCAGCAACAGGAAACAGGATTATCAGTTCCTATAGGGACAGTTTATATTATTGCTTTGCAGTGTGATACTTCACAAAGCATGGTATTGCCCATTCTTGTCCCCATAGAAAATATAACAAAACCATACATGTTTATGTTTTTTAGGAATGCTGCTTAACTACTTGCCATGGATATGCTTACTGCATGCGCATATGTTTGAAACAAAACTTTTTGTCCCACTTTTTAGTAACTTCTTATGCAACAACTGTCCTAAGCTGTTTCCTTGGATAACAAAATAAGGCTTGCTTAGGGTTACTGTGCACAGGGCCGCCAATAGTGGGCCTAAGCAGCCCTCCCATAGCAGGCTTGAGTCCCATTGGGTCAGCTTAGCAGGAGGCCTAGCCAAAACAGGGGCTGCCTGTAGGAAAGGAGGCGATGAATACCAAACTGAATACCATGGCTAGTAGACAGGAAAGGCCACTTGGCAGGCCTATCAGGGATGGCGCTGCTGGTGTCACTTTGTGACAGGGTTACATAGTTAGTTAGTTTGTTAGTCTGGCTGAAAAAAGACAAAAGCCCATCCAGTTCAACCGTAAAAAAAAACAAGTTATCAACCTACACCCGCAGTTGATCCAGAGGAAGGAAAAAACCCAGCAAAGCATGATCCAGTTTGCTCTTGCGGGGGAAAAAAATTCCTTCCTGATCCCCCGAGAGGCAATCGGATATTCCCTGGATCAACTTTACCTATAAATGTTAGTAACCAGTTATTTTGTCCAGCAAGGCATCATTCCTAGTTGGAGCAACTATGAACTGTACCATAAAATTGTCCTGTAGTAGGTTTAAAAATGTTTGCCCTTTAACTGTTCCTGCAGTGTCATTACTCCAGTCAATTTCTGGGTAGTTAAAGTCCCCCATTATTATCACTGTCCCAGCCCTTGAAGCCCTTACAATCTGTGCAAGGAGCTGAGTCTCCACCTCCTCATTAACACTGGGAGGCCTATAACAAACTCCAATGATTATCTTTGTAGTACGCTCCCCCATGTGTAGTTCCACCCATAATGCTTCAGCCTCATCACACTCTCCATCTTTCACACTCACGCTGAGATCACTTCTCACACAGAAACAGACACCACCACCTTTTCTTTTTACCCTGTCTTTCCCAAAGAGAACATAGCCAGGAATATTAATGGCCCAGTCATGTGAAGAATGAAGCCAAGATTCAGCAATACCAATAAAATCATAGTTTTCTTCATGCACCAAAGCTTCCACCTCTCCTATTTTGCTTGGCAGACTTCTGGCATTGGTGAACAAACACTTTACTTCATTGACACCATGTGCACATGTACTGTATTTTGCAGATTTTTTCTTTTCATACAAATGGTACTAATTCAAATGGTTGTTTGTAACATGGGAACCTTCTTCTCATCTGCCATAGCCCTCCCCCCATCTTTCCCCATTCCACACACCAATAGGGACTGACCTTTGTCTGATCTGTCTATCCCATTATAATATAATTCTCTCTCCCCCCTCGATCCTAGTTTAAATACTCCTCCAGTCTTCTTAGGAGAGGTAATTTTAGTTCTTTAGCTCTCCTGTAATCAAATGAGCTGCTAGGAGTTTCACAGGCTGTGGGTTTTGGCTGCTTCCCCCTGCCTTCTGGATGGTTCTGGAAAGTAGTGGTCTGGGAGAGTCTAAGTTATAGTATGAATATTTATGTGGTCCCAGAAAATACCTTGGGGAGGGTGCCCAGTTGGTGGCTGGGAGAGAGCATAAATAGTTTGATGCCTGGAGCAGAGGAGTTCTGGTCCTGGAGAAAATTCCAGCCTGAAGGGCTGCAGTCTAGATATGTTTCTCCATTTGCTCATCAAGGTCCCAGCTGTGCTAGGGGATCTGCTCTTTTTTTTGAGGGGGGGGGGGGGCTCTTCTGCTGAACTTTGCTGCAGCTGACTGAGGGATTTCCTTTTGGGGATCTGGTCTGAAGAGTTCACAGCAGAAATGTCTGACTGATATTGGAAGGAGGCATCCAACTATCCAGAGGCATTTGTGAGTACAGACTGGTGTGTGAGATCCCAAAGCAGTGTGTAACTGTTGTCCCTCTTGCATCAGAGTCAGCTTATACTACAAGTGGACATTGCTCTTGGTCTCCCTGTGTAGCTGAGCCCATCATTTGCTGCTGAAAGGACTCTGCTAGAATCTTTAAGAGGAAGACACTGTAGGTGTCCTCAAGTTACTACTTAAAGTGTTACTAAGCCCAGGACCCTGAATTCACTATATCTGGTCTTCCACAGGACACAGAACATGGAAGTGCAATTATTTTAGTAAATATAAACTGCTAAATACCTTTTCTCATCAGCAGTTAGAGCAACTTGTGACTTCAGCAGAGCACATTTTAAAGCTTGTAGGAAGAGTTTTCTTTCTGCTCTAGCAGGATGCAAAACCCCTGACCTCTGTCTGGACAGTGTTTATTGGCCCTGTGCTGATCACATGCATTCTCCCAAGAAAAAAAGAACCTCTCTAGCAATACACACTAAACTGAGCATGTGCATGTGACTAGGGGTACAGTCTGTCTTATTAGGTGGACATTTGAACAAAAAGAGGGGCAGAGAAAACAGGATCAAATGGCCGTTTTACACAATGCAGAGGATTATAACAAGCATGCTTTACTGCATATACAGACTGATTTCGCTGTTGTGGGTTTAGTAACACTTTAATATTACTGGAGTATGCCACAGTTACCCTGCTCCTATTCAAGTGTTCAATAAAGCATCAAAAAAGTATATCCCTAGACTAATCATTGAGCCAAAAGAGTGAATGAGATTGTGTGCTTGGCTGCTGGTGCACTTATTAGGATCAAATTAACGGGTCCTTTGGGGGGGTGAGTGCTACACATTCATCTGGATTTTATTATTCTGTAATATTGAAAAAGTTTCACCATTTAAAGCAGAACTACAGTCAACAAAAAAAAATATGAACAGCAGGCTCTTTATTGCAAAAAAGGCATGTAGTGAGAAGAGAATTCTGCAATAAAACAAACCTGCCTGCCTGTTCACATAATTCTGAAGAAGGGTTCTTGCATGGTCTAGAAACAGTGGGGGAACTTTACTAAAACTGGAGAGTGCAAAATCTGGTGCAGCTCTGCATAGAAACCAATCAGCTTCCAGGTTTTATTGTCCAAGTTTATTTGAACAAGCTGAAGTTAGAAGCTGATTGGCTACCATGCACAGCTGCACCAGATTCTGAGTGCTTCAGTTTTGATACATCTCCCCCATTGTCTTTATATGTGATCATATGCAGTAAAGAATAGCTTTTCACTTTGAAATAAAGCTTGTCTGTGTGCCATATGTCTTATTTATGTTATACACCATGACCACTTTTGTAGCACCCTTTTGACTACATGGTTGGTCCCAGTATGGTGTGCAAAAAGAATATGCTCCTGCTCAGGTAAGCTATATGGGGTTCATTATTTAAAACGAGGGCTCTGATTGTGCATGTAATATATCACTGAAACTACTCTCACTACTACGCATGAAATAACATTGCTTCCTATGGTGCCTGTTCACATATGCCCGCTGCACTGGCGGTGAGGATTCAGTGCGGTTTGAAAAAGAGTCATGTCTGATTTCTGAGCAGTGCCTTCAGGTTGAGGTGCGGATTACAGGCTATTGACTTGTATGCAGGGGCGGACTGACCATTTGGAAACGCGGGCACTGCCCGAGGGCCCAGGGTCAGTAGGGGGCTCCATGAGATGCCCCTAGTACCTTTTTCATAGGCTTTTTTGAGTTTGAGCAAGGACACAGGGGCCCCATGATCCCCTATTGCCCGGGGCTCCATGAGTTGTCAGTCCGCCCCTGCTTGTATGGAAACCATTTCTAAACCTCATATATATGAGGACATGATAAAACCCTGAGCTTACCCTGTCTTGAACCTGATGTAAACCTCACATGAACCACTGAACAACTACTGTGTCAATTAGCTGTGAAACCTGAGCTTCAATCCTCACCGCACATGTGTGAATCAGCTCTCAATTCACATTTACACAATGCAAAGACAAGTTATGTGTATTAACCTATAGTAAACAATTGCAAATGAGCTTTTATTATCTACAGAAAATGAATTTATGGTCAGTTGCAGCAGGTTACTGCGATGCATTTTGAAATATGTTATCTAATAAATTCACCAGGCCTGAACTAAGAAAAGAAAGCTGTCCTCATTAATAAAACACTGCAATTCCCATTATTTTTATGCTTAAAATGTGCCAAGCCTAACAGAGCAGTAATGATTAATTATTAGTACAAAAGCTGACTCATTACTACTGTACTGCTGTGATGACCAAGTGGTAAATGTGAACAGGCTGCAGTTAAAGATGAACCTTTAATTACATGTTCTGCATAGGGGGTGATGAATAAGGTAATATTGTTCCTCACTCTTGCAGGCTTCTCCCTTGGAGTGACTGGTTTTCTGAAGCCTCTTACCTTCATTGTCTGACCAGTTGCCACTCTCTGATATCATTCTGTACAATGCAGGACCAGCAGTCCTGCATTGTATGGGAGGATGCAGAGGGCCAGTCTGCAACCCAGGATGTTGGACATCTGAGGAGAGCACTGACTGCCATAGGAAGGAGAAATAAGGTAAGTATATAACTTTGTTCATCATCCCCTAGGCAAAACTAGAAGTTAATTCTTTAAGTAGAGAGGGGGACCAACTGCGAGTAAAATGTTTCTCATCAGCAGAGTTCAGCTTTAACTCTGCTCTAATATTTTAGTATTAAAACTGGGCTAAATTAGTATAAGGAGCCCCCAAAAGTTCACAGCTGCACGTTGATAATCACAGACAGACAGATCCTTCTAGAATGAGAGGATTGCCAAGTCCAGCCCTATAATGGCTCTTAAGGCAGAATGATTTTTGCCTTAATGCATTCTCTGCACTAAGGTAAAAAAAAACTTCAGTATGCAGCCCCCCCCCCCCCCCCAGCCCTCCTTTATACTTACCTGAGCTCAATCTCGATTCAGTGCTGTGCCCAAGAGCAGAGGCTCTCTGCTCTCTCCCTCCTCATTTGCTCAGAGACAGCAGGGGGGAGCCATTGGCTTCCACTGCTGTCAATTACAGCCAATGAGGAGGATGCAGAGGACAGGGCCGAGTCACGCTCTGTGTGTCTATGAACACACAGAGCCGGCTCGGGAGTGAGCTCACATGAGTGCCTCTTTAGCAAGTGGCTTGCTATGAGAGCACACTGTAGGGCAGGGGGAGCCAGGAACAGCAGTGGGGGACTCCAAAAGAAGAGGGTCAGGATTGCTCTGTGCAAAACCATTTCACAGAGCAAGTAAGAATAACATGCTTGTTATTTAAAAAAATGAACACACAGAGCCGGCTCGGGAGTGAGCCCACATGAGTGCCCCTTTAGCAAGTGGCTTGCTATGAGAGCACACAGAGCCGGCTGCTATGAGAGCACTCAGTAGGGGAGCTCGGAAGTGAGCCCACATGAGTGCCCCTTTAGCAAGTGGCTTGCTATGAGAGCACTCAGTAGGGGAGGGGGAGCCAGGTACACCAGTGGGGGACTCCAAAAGAAGGGTCAGGATTGCTCTGTGCAAAACCATTTCACAGAGCAAGTAAGAATAACATGCTTGTTATTTAAAAAAAATATTAAATTTGATCCTTTACAATCACTTTAAGGTAGCTGCAAACCCTAATTTGATGATATTTGTTAAAGCAATGTTTATCATAAACAAATGTCATTATTATTATGACTAATATTATTATTATTATTTTTTTTTTAAATACTGGTTTCATCTTTATTGCATTTGAGTTTTGCCAATCACATCCAGCCTTTTTGTAGTCACCCTCTGTGTACAAGCACTCATTCCAGTAGCAGCTGCCATTTTCTAGGGCAGGTTTCCCGACAGTGGCAACAATGGACCATGTCTGTGCAATGAGTACCAGCACAGCCACTTGTAATCTCCACTGGAAGTGCATGTAATTTGGTGGCAAATTAGGAGCACAGTTAGAACACAGGGGCAGATCACTGGGGTTGATGTAATGAAACTGGAGAGAGCAAAATCTTTTCCAGCTCTGCATAGAAACCAACCAGCTTCCAGGTTTTTTGCCAAAGTTTAATGAACAAGCTGTAGTTAGAAGCTGATTGGCTACCATGCACAGATTTTGCACTCTCCAGGTTTAGTAAATCAACCACACTGTCATGCCACAAGTATCTGACCATGGACTTTTTTGGCAGGATCACCAAAAAATATTTTAAATAAAGCTGTACATTTTAAGAAAAGGTTGATAACAGTTTTTGAAATTACTTTACCGTGTTAGAATAATAAATAAAACATCTCTAACAAGTGTTTATTTTAGTCATAGGTGTCAAATAATACTGAAGTGTCTGTGGACTCTTGGGACCTCTGCTAATTGGCCTGTTTTGCTTGGTATATAAAGCAATGACATAAACTGTTTTCCTGTTTCCATGTACGTCAGCTAGTATAGATATATCTTTCTGTCATGAGCTATCATTAAAATAAAAAGTTACCATCTGTGCAAAGATCATTCACATTAGCAAGGGATCAGGGATGTATTTACTGTAAAGCACTTGTAAGCCAGCTACTTGAGTTCTGCTGTAATAGTGGGGTTATATGAAACAGCATCAGGCCACAAAATCTGAAATTGTGCTTTTCTTCTTATTTTTTTCCTTGTCTGAACCCCTCTAGATATGTAGTTGAATTCAGATGAGTAAGGGGAAGACGGTGCAGGAGCTCTTTAGGTTAATTTCCAGACTCTCTGTAACTCAAGTAATATTCTGCCATCTCCTCTATCTCTTGTTTTGTGGACTGTAGAGTTGAAAGGAAGCTCTGCAAATAAAACCGCTTCCAATAGCATATTTTTTTTTTTAGCTTTTGTGAAAAAGATTGTATGACAAACTGACAGCCTCAGTACAAAGATTGTCTTTATTCCAGTGTGTCTAGAGAAGCAAATTATCTTAATGTAACTTTGCAAATAAAGAAATAGCACAGTAGCTAAGTTGTAATCATTAAAGCCTTGTAGTACTAGGGTCCTTGATTCAAATAGCAGCCAGAATACTAACTGCATGAAGTCGGCAAGCTCTTCCTGCACTTGTGTGGGCATCTTCCCACACTTCAAAGTCATGCTGGTAGGTTAATTAGCCCTTGTCAAAACTGACATTAGTATGTAAATGCATGCATGTGAGATATGGACATTATATTCTCCTAGATTGCAAGCTCTAATGAGCAGGGCCCTCTAATTGTGTAATTGTGTCCACCTTTCTTTCAGCTGACATTAGCCTAATTTCAGTACTAATTATCTCTCACCTAGACTACTGCAACTCCCTCCTCATTGGCTTACCTTTACAGAGGCTATCCCCCCTCCAGTCCATTATGAATACTGCTGCCAGGCTCATCCACCTTACGAACAATTCATTGTCTGCTACCACTCTTTGACAATCCCTCCACTGGCTTCCACTCACCCAACTAATAAAATTCAAAATACTAGCAACAATTTACAAAGCCATGCACAACTCTGCCCCCAGCTACATCACCAACCTGGTCTCAAAATATTTATTATTATACAGGATTTATATAGCGCCAACAGTTTGCTCAGCGCTGTACATTATAATGGGAGACAGTACATGAGACAGTACAGTAACAATACGATTCAATACACGAGGGGTTCGAGGGCCCTGCTCCTTGGAGCTTACAATCTAGGAGGGAGGGGATAGTGGTACAGGAGGAAATAGATGGAGTGGTAGGAAGATTGGAGAAGTTCAGTAATTAGCTGAATATCAAATCAAAAAATCTTTGATCCTCCCAACACCTTCTGCTCTCTTGTTCCCATGTCACCTCCTCCCATGCTCGCCTCCAGGACTTCTCCCGAGCTTCTCCCATCCTATGGAATTACCTACCCCAATCTGTCCAGCTGTCTCCTAATCTATCCACCTTTAGACGATCCCTGAAAACCTCTCTCTTTAAAGAAGCCTATCCTGCTTCTACCTAGTAAACTGCCATTTATTTCCTCCATCAGCTCATCCCCCCACAGCTATTACCTTTTGTATCACTCAACCCTTCCTCCTCCTAGATTGTAAGCTCTAATGAACAGGGCCCTCTGTTTCCTCTTGTACCAAATCGTATTGTAACTGTAATGTCTACCTTTATTTTGTAAACCCGCTGCGCAAACTGTTGGCGATATATAAATCCTGTATAATAATAATAATATTGGTGGAAACTCCTTGAAAGTAGGGATTGATGTGAATGTACAACATGTTGGAGCTATAAATGAATGAGTAAATAAATAAAATAAATAATTAGTCTTCAATTGCAGTAATTGGCTGGTGGTAGCATCTGTCAGAAAAAAAAAATCTAGACATTTTCTGTAGAATCATTGAAAAATGTGCATTATTTCTGTTCAGAGAAAAAATTCTGATCATTATACATTATATGAGGTCAGCTATCATTATTAAAGCTAGTGGTTTTTAATTATCCATGAGTATCCATTTGCATATGGCAGGCTTGAAGTATATTAAACCCTAACACTTAACTTCTGTTATTTACACATTCCCTTTATGTTATAGCCATGAGTAGAGTCCTGTAATTCTAACATTCTTCCTGTTCTAGAGTGACAATTCTTCTTCTCTATAGATAAAGTATGGGGAGTGAATGGTGTCATGCAAAGACACACAAAGACAGGAAGTATGTTACAGACAAGATTACCAGGTAACATTAAGGGCACATGTACATGGACACATTCCTCCATATGGGATAAACTTTCTGGGGTATTTTGATGCCCAGGATGTCCTGGTGCTGCTTACGCCACCCATACACATGAATAGGTTATTATTATTGTTATTATA